AGGAATTGTGACATCTGTACTTGCTTTTTAACATATATTTTCTGGCTTTTTTGTGTTTACATTGGATCAAGTAACATTGAATCCTTTCTCAATGTTTATCAGAACCGTAGTTTAAATCCTTAAGCCTTGAAGGAACACCCTTCATTTTCTCAGCCAAGTTTTTTTTAATAGTCTGACCTACTTTTGATTAAAGTCTATTAATTTCAACATGGTAAATAGTGAATAAAAGTTAAATAAAATTATAAAATGAGAAATAATGTTGTGGGTTTCATAATTAGACTGTAATTTGTTCCACAAGTTTCCACATTTCTGAAGTTTGAGTGTTTTAGGTATAGTTGCAAACTAATCCCACATTAATAGTGTTGCTGTTTTGTCTGGTTCATACAGAAGTTTGACTTCATGAAGCACATGGCTTCTGTATAAACCAGACAAAAAGGTTAAGGCATTGAACTATTCTAAACAAACATTAAATTGCTTCCTGAAGGTCTTGTATATGCTGTAGAATGAATGTACATTTTCTCATAAAACGTCACAATGCTCTGTTGTAAAGTGCAGTAATTAGCTTCATGGACTGACTGGTGTGTAAAACGAATCCGTCGTCCTGCCTAACTGTCCATCACTGTTGGATCCCACCTCACTTTTTGGCCTAGTTTCATGTAATTAGAATTGATTGATTCAAATAAAGATGTTTGTTTTAGTCTGTGAAAACCTTTTTGTTGTTTTTGTGCAAGTTGTTCGCAGGATCAGGCCATTAATATTCAGTATGATTCTCAGGGGGGCTTTTATTTTGGAGCCAGCCATCAATTCTCCAAAAGAATGTGTGTCAGGTTGGTGGTAATGTGGAAAAGTTCCTTTCTCCTGAGACTTTATTTGGAATATAAATTTCTGGGTCATGAAAAACGAAAGCTAAACAACTCTCCCTTGTTGAAAATTTCTCAATGTTTTTTGGAGGGGGGTAGTTAGGGAGGAACTTGAGCAGTGTCGAATCTGAAAATGCTGAAGCGCGGAAGAATGCAATCTGTTTTGAAAAAGTCAGTCCAGTCAAACTGTTTTTAAAGGACATTTTTGGCATGAACTTGCTAAATATTTGAAATGATTATATATTTGAATTTCATGTAAATATAGTACTGCTTTGTCTATATTATTTAACGAACCGTTTGTATTTTTTGTGCACGAGTGTAATCGTAGGTTGTTATAATTTCATATTTACTATATATTTCTAATATATACACTGTATTAAAAAAACTATTGTATTATATAACACCATTACTTTTATGTGGTTGACCTTCCCTCTGGAACACTTACTTAATGTAAAGCTTTGCTGGTTCAGACACTGTCTTTTCTGTTGCGGACAAAGCTCAGCAAAGCCCCATGGTTCCATTGACCAGATTTTAAGACCGGCTCTATGCCATCTGTGAAAATGACAAACGTTCTTCCCTTTAATGGAAGACGTTTTCTGTTTCAGTCTTATGCACTGGTCAGCTGTGTTGCCAAATCCTCTCCCAAAACTGTTTGATTGGATAAAGTGAGGCAGATGTGTATTAAAAACAGGTATTTAGACACCTACTCCTGTACCTGGTTGCAGAGGATTATATTTTTAAAAGTCTTTCAGGCCTTTCACGAAATCTTAGTCATATTGGCATAGCATGAAATATTGTCCTAAATATGCCTTACCTTGGCTCTTTTATACATTCACTTTATGTATTCTGTAAATGTGACACCAACACAAGACATTCTTCCATTGAGCAGATATAGTTTCTTCAGGCATTGCTAGAGAATTAGTTGGCTAAATTTGTATTCATTTTATCCCCTTTGGTATATATGTTGTTAAACTTCAATGAGTGGTGAAACAATGCCTCTGTGAAAAATAATATCATATATTTTAGCTCTTCAATTAGTTTTGTAGTTACATTTAAGAAGCATTTTAAGAAGTATACCAAAAGGCAAAAACAATTTTATAAATTTACAGTTTATAAATTGTTCCAAAAACATATTTTACTTAACACTACGCAGTGTGTCGCAATAGAGGTATGCATTTCTACTAAAAGATGCTGCGGTTTTCACGTAAAAGCATTTTACTTTTTAAATTGGAAAAATTCTTCCTCCAAATGCCAGCTATGTAAAAAAAAAAACCCCAGAAAACTCAGGCCTGCACAGCCTTCATGAAATGTACAATACCGTCTCTGGGATGGTACGATTCATAGCTGCAACATGGCCGATTGTGGTTGGTTTATATACGTTATGATGTATGTGTGTGCATGCGTGCAAGCATTGAATTTTCTTTTTAGTAACTTATAAGAAGTTGTTAGAATGGCAGACCTGTTAAGCACTGTTTTTAATTATTCATAACAACACCACTGCTTTAAGTGATTCCTTTGCCCTCGCATAACGATTCTTATAGTTGTTTTTCCATCACACAAAACTGAAATGCTCTTTGGAAGAATTGGCACTGCATCATGGTTCAGCAGGCGGCTAAAGGGTTAGGCATTGCTAGAGATGCGGAATTTGCACTCCTAGAACCTGCAGTTGTTAATGAGCTGGCAGAAGGCTCCCTCACAGATAAAATAGGCTTTCTGTTTAATTGGGAAGGGGGCTGGTCTGGCGCCGGATACATCTCTCACTCCCTCCTCTCTGGTATTTTCTCACTTCGATTTGCACTAGAAGCTGTCTGCCGGCCAACGTCAGCCAAGCCCTACGTGTGATCCGTAGCCAGCCGCTCTGTTGGTGACGAACGATCTGCGATAATTTAGTGTTTCTCCCTCCCTAACTCCTCTCACTATCTTTATTTTTGTTCACCTCCTTTCTTTAACCCATTAGTTGCAGAGAGTGTCCTTCTCTTAACACCCCCCCCCCCCCCTCATTTAGTCATAGTTGCATCCGCCTCTTCATTCTTCTGAACATTATTGAGTAGCACAGCGTCATGGTAATTACCTCTGCTGCCTCACAGCTCTTGGATTCCGGACTGTGGTGCCTTATGGAACTTGCATGTCCTCCTAGGTTTTCATTGGGTGCTTTGGTTTCCTTAGACTTCCCAAAGACATGCCATCTAGGTTAATTCATGTCTCAGAACTGTCCAGGTGTGTGCCTCCGGTATAGATGGGGTTTAGGTCCACCTTGAGCACTGCACTTCAGAATATGGGCTTGACTGGAATAAGCAGCTTTCTGATTATAGATGGATGATCATTATTGTCAAAAATACATTTGTCATGTAATGCAAAGTTGCAAAACTTTGAAAGGTGTTATAATACTTTTGTAATGTAGGTTGAACATTTAAAAATGTACTGAGTGTCATTGAAAATAAATAATTCTCTTGGCTCCAGTATTCATTTGTTGCATTTTTAATACTCCTCGGTATATGTGAAGATTGCCTAATGCTATCAAACTGATAAACAAACGTGTGCTGCACAATGGGCACTTGAATGTGTGGGTTGATCTTGAAACAAGCGCAGGTTTATCGTTAGAACCTGAGTGAAAAGGATTGTTTTTAGTTTTCTTCAAAACATAGCTTGCGGTGTGTGAATCTCCACGATTCTATGTGTGATTCAGAAGATCAAACAGGTACTGGTGTGATTTCCTGCTGTACCTTGTTCTTGGCTTTTTGTAGTAATATTCTCTGTGTTAGAGCCGTTTATCTCTTTCCACAAAAAACATCTTAAAAAGAAATCCTGTATGTATTTATGAGTGGGGAATAAATTAACATATTTAAACATATTTAAACATATTATGTTTAAAAAAAACATTTCTGAAATGCATTGGGAAAGGAAAACTTTATCCCTTTATCCTAGCTTCCTTTACTTATTTTATTTTTTAAAATTTAATTTAAACTCATTTTAATTTGATCATGGGGGTGGGAAGATCTGTAATTTTAATTACATGTACTATTCTGTTATGAAATACTTTTTTAATTTGAATACAAGTTGCAAAGTGTTTTGACTCTCAAAATGTAGCAGTGCATCTTGAAGTGCATACATTGCATTTTTTCAATAACTAAGTGTGTTTATGGACCTTTCCCTTGATTTGTTTTCAGCAGTAAATAGTATAATCTAAAAACATAATGTCTTTTCATTGTGTGATATAGTTATGCATCTATTTGCATAATGTTTGAAGGCATCTAATTTCCAACCTCCGTAAGTTCACCAAGACAAGGATGCAAGTTTAAATGCTCTTGTTTGGATTGGATCTTTAGCCGTTTGAATTCTGGGCTCAAGGAACACTAAGAGAAATTACTGCAGAGAAATCGTCAGCAGATGATTGCTGCCCTCCTATATTATGCGTTATGTTTATTTTTAATTTTCTAATGTATGGATATTTAATCTTTGCACAGGCCTTTTGTTTAGTTTCAGCAGAAGAGAATTTCACCATTATATGTACAGTGTTAGCTCACAATATCTTCACAGAGCTCACTGCTTATGTGGCATTGTTAACCTGCTGAGATGTAAATGTCATTAGCTCAAGTATTATTCTGGGGTTTAAACAATTAGCAAAGAATCTATTGTTTTAAATGTCTTTTAAGTACTGGTGAACAGAGAACTGTAAGCTTATTAGTAAGGTAGTTATTTTGTATGTTGAATTGGTAGATATTTAAATAGAAGAATGTTCATCACATGGAAAATATCATTTTTATATCACTTGAAGCCATTCATGCATATATGATTCTGTCAAAAATGTTATCCAGCGCTTGGAAAATATCAATGCACATCCTTAACAGAATGTCACTGGCTTTTTCTTCTCTCCTATGTTTTTCTTTCTGAAATTCTTACAGAAGACACTTGTCTCCATACTTGTTATATGGTTTTTAGTAATTCAAGAAATATCGTGGACAGTTGTTATGAGCACTCTGGGAGTATTTGTTCTGTCATGTTGTGTAACCCTGTGCATCAGAGGCTATCAGATGAACTGAGCTGATGCTTCACCTTATGAATATACAAACTTAAATTGGATGACAGTTTAATTAAGTTGAAGCCATGTTCCTAATCAAATGTTTAATTTGCTTTTTCCAGCCTGCCAGATGTCTGGGTGAATGAAAATGATCGACCTCAGCTAAAGACTAAAGTTGTACATTTATCAAAACTACCACAAGACACTGCAGTTTTGTTAGATCCTAATATATACAGGTAAGTAAGAGGCATCTACCTGCAAAAGCCAGGTGCTTAACTTAAGAGGAAAGGTTGAGAGAAAGATGGTTCAAACTGTTTGCATTTAGAACGCAGTCTTTCTGGTGGGTTTACCTTCAGGATTCCAGAAGGAGGAAAACAAAAACAAACAACAAGAAAGCTATAAATGGGCACTTTAAATTCAAATGAATATTCTGCCAGCCCAAGAAACCCTTCCTTCTGAATTTACAATGCTTTTGCAAAATTAATGCAAAACTGATTGTGAGAAAGTACCGGCACTTGACATTGTTTTGCTACATCAGCCCGTCACTGGAATTGTTGTTGTTAAATTTGAGGCCGAGATGCTTGTGAATCCACTCCAGTGCTTCGGATCCCTTTCCACATGTTTATCTTTAGGGCTGCTGATCAAATGAAGTGACCACAAGTTCCTTTCCCAGCCCTTTTCCCTGTTATTTTCGCCCCCATATGTGATCTGAGGCTGACCTTGTATGTTTTGCAGACCAGCTTTTGTGCTGTGCATTTACAGTCTTTAGCCGAAATCCATCCCAACTTTGTTGCAGCCTGCACCAAGGCTTCTCATTTATGAGGGTCCCAAACTTGACCTAATAGCTCTTTGGATCATTTATGCTGTCAGAGGTCTTTGCACATTCGATAGCCTGGTCAATAGCCCAGAAACAGCTTATCAAAGCATAGTGGCAGAAGAGCATTCAGCTGCAGAGACCTGTGGACTGGAATGTGGCAGCGTCTCTGTGCAAGCAAACAAAAATAAAAAGGTTGTGCTATGAGAACAATTCAGGAGAGAGTAGGACACAATCTGTTCATGTCTCAGCACTCCAGCCAGTTTAACCATAAGCTGTAACTTTAGGGCAAAGTTAAATTACATTCTTCATTAATTACATATTTGTGGAACAAAGTACTCAATGCAAAGAAAGGATTATGTGTACGAGAAGCTATAAATTGAAGCAAGGATACAATAAGCAATATTACAGATTGATACATGCAGTTGTTTTGTGAACAGATTTTATCCTCGTGAGTTAAAACGCTTTTTTTGTTCCCCACCTCACACAAAGCCCCCTCACCCACCCCCCTCTGTCACTCCCCTTCAAATTCAAATTGTAAGGATCCTTAAAACATGGTAAGATACTTCAGTGGGACCTCTGTGCTCTCGGTGCACCAGTAGCAGCACGCCAAGTCTCCACCTTCCCCCTGCTGACACTGTGGATCCCAGCAGTCAAAATAATAAGATCAGGATGTGCCAGGAGAGGGAATGTGGCACAGCACACACAACCTTGTAGCTGCAGTGGGAGCAACTAAACATACAGTATACATTTGTGCTGTCGTAAAAGGCCCAGATTAGAGTTCAGTCTTGTCCAGTGAAAGTACTAAATTTGAACAGGAAATATTCCTATTTAGAGTAAAGTACAAACAGGAAGAGAGACCTGTTCCCAGAACTTAACCTCTGGACACTCCCAAAATATATGTAAATATGTGACCACAGTGGTCCCTTGACAGAGTGTACACAGGGGACTAGAAAACATTCATATGATACTCTCTACAAGTTCAGATACTCTTTGAGAAGGAAGTTTAAGTGGATTATGTGTTAGTTAGGTCTTTGGCAGGAAGAATTTGTGTTATCCCAAATACTGTATTGTCTAGATATATGTACTGGTTTAATGAAGGATGGTGGAGACCATCCTACCAAGAAGTACAAGGAGTTTCACTATAGGAATTCAACATGACTATAGGAGCATCTCACAATATATTAATCTCTGAATCTAATAGCAACATAATAGAACCGCAGGTCAGGGGAGTAATATGGACCTTTGATTTGATGGGTGTGGTGGGCTAGGCAGCTTTGACTTCTGTTTAAAGCCTGGTATATAGCTAGTGTAGTAAACCTAATAATGTTCCCTGATCCTCGGTACCAGTTAGAAGTCTGCCTTGTGCATTGTGTCTCTAAATTCACCGGGACACTATAATAGGAGTCAATACGGTTATCTAGGAGAGACAGATAGAAGAAGCAGAGGACATATCTGTGCAGTGTTTCAGAAGATGATCTCAGAGATCAGTTAATGTAAAGAATACAAGGTTACAAGTGAGAGGAAGCTGTTCAACCCGTCTAGTCTATTTTGATTTGAGGATCCCATTCTGTTGTTTCTTGAAAGAACCCAGGATGACAGTTCAGGATCCCAGTCCAAAAAAAAGTCAGGGTTGTTTTGTAGGTATGAGGATTAGTCAGTGATCTTATTTGTCAAGAAAGCGGGGTATTTCTTAAAGTAGAATCCATTAAGAAGGAATGAAAAAGATTGTGGTCATTCAAGTGAGAAAACCATTTACAAACACAAAAAAACATCCAGTCATAACTATCTGGGTGTCATGAGTTTAGGAAAATCGTGGAATGCTTAAAACCTCATTATTCTGGGATCTATAGTTTATTGAGCTGAAAAAGCCCCCTGTCAAAAAATACTTTAGTGCTGTACTATTCAAAGGAAATACAGCATCATATGCAGACATAAGTGTCTTGCCGTTTTTTAAAATGTAATGAGAGATTTAAAAAAGATTTTTAAAAAAGTAAATTGAAATGACCTGGACTGGGAGGAAGTTGTTTTACAAAGAAGAGGTTAATCAAATAGTGAAAATGTAGGATTCTGTTTCTGCTCTTATGAAAATCAGCTCAAGAATCTAGCAACTGATGCAGCCTTTTTTAAAAATAACATTTCATAAATCTGGTTTTAATAAATGGTAACCAGTTCTTTCCACTAGATGGCACCAAATCTCAAATATTTCAGCTTGAACACAGCTGGCGTTTCTATTGTAATATCATATACGATTTTGCAAAAGGCCTTTCATAATCAATGTCAAATCACTATATAATAAAAATCTGGTGAAAAATCGACCGTAACAATCTATAGGACATTTAAACTATAGGACATTTATTTTAAAATTTTAAAATAAATGTAATATAATACATTAAACAAAATTAAATTTAACCCACAAATATTTTTATTACCATGCATATTTGTTTCAAATGTTGAATTCTTGATATTTATATTTTGAAAACGGCATATGGTTAGAGAAAGAAACAAGAAGCATAGCAGTAGAGCACTCTGAATGAATAATGTGCATTACGCTGCAGCACGTCGAAGCTGCTGATATTGAAGCTGAATGTTCTCCCTCTACAGTGCTTCCCGCTGCCTGCCTGCCATGAGTTAGCTTTCCAGAGGCATTGCCAATAGGTCACTGTGAGAGTCGGCAGCCTAGCTCTGCAATGGGGTGCTGTTAGCAGGCCTAAGCAAACAGTTTGAATTAGGCTTTTTGTCACCTGGAATTCTTTCATGAAACAGTTCTGGTTGGGAAAGATAATTGGGGCAGGCATAACAAAAACATAACCTCAATCAACTGAAATGGCTTGTTAGCCAAGGTTCAATCGGTGAAGCCCCACAAGGGAAAAAAGTTGCCGCCTTGACAACTAATAATGTTTCAAGGGCTTATCTAACTCATTGCATAATTTAGAAGTGTATGATGGTAAATGTTGCAACTCTTTTGTTTGTGATGTTTAATACAGTTGTCTTTATTTTCTGTTATTGTCTTTCTTCCGTTCTTTGATTTCGTGCTTGGTTGAGAGCGAATGAAACCTTGAACTACGCACCAATCAAGATTAATTTCTTTATTGGACCAGTTTCCTGTAGTTCTCAATCAACATATCTGACTGTTAATTACTTGGGGAAAAAAATGTGTGTGTATTAAACATAAAATGGAGCCGGACTTGGTAAGCTTTTTTCCCAGTGCGCAAAACTTTTTTTTTCCAAGGCTGAATGTCTCATAAAATAAAAGATAAGGTTTTACGAGTATGTATTCTCTGATCTTAGGTGTATGCCTCTTTGTAAAATTGTTGCTAGGGAGAAATGCTGAATTAGGAGAGCAAGGGAACTTTTGGGTTTTCACGGGCTGAAGTCACCTAGCTTGGTGGTATTTCTTATTTTATTTTATTTTATTTGTTGGACCATGTTTTTGCCAGTGAAATACATACGTAGGTTCAACACATAAAGATACGTTTTTGAAGGTTGGAAGAATTGTCTTAACATGACACTTTCAGCTATGTCTGTGTTTCTCCCCTACTCTATACCTCTTAAACCAATATTTTCAAACCACAATCCAAAGATACCTCTCAAGATTAAATGTAATAACATATGGAAAAATATGAGCTGAGTGACTATAACCTTCATTGCATTGATTAGTTCTAAGTTAATGAATTAAGTTTAAGATTTAAGAACATGCTTTTTGTGTGTGGTGAGTGCATGGGGGGAGAGTAACAAAATAAGATTGATTTATTTTTTTGTGTCTTCCCATCCATCAGTGGTATCCTAATCGGACAACAGCGTAATGACTGTTTCTCACATGCTGTCGCTCTAGTAGAGGGGTGCCCAATGTTTTTGATGCTCGTGTGATGGTACTTCTAACAAGTAGCTGCTAGATGTATTGCTGGGTTGTGCTAATCTCCTTTTTTTTGTAATTCAGGCTTTTTTTTGTGTGTAACACATGTACTCCTCCTCTCTTTGAGCTCCATTAGTCACAGTAACGCAGGAGAGTTCAGGTTACAGTCCCTGATGTGTGTTCTGATGGGCAGTTGCTGAAAACTTAACATGATGTAAACAGTCTTAATGTGCGGACCTCTGGCAGCTCCATCGCTTCCTCAGTTTCAGCTGCGGAGAAAGTCTGCTCTTCTGTCATGGAGAGGTGCCAGGACGTTTTATAGCTTTTTTTACCAGCGGTGAAGACTTCTAGTTCATGGTCAGAAACAGCCAACCCCTCCTTCATAATAGTTTGAAGTGGGGAAATACAGCAGGCAGTGGAGGAGCTGTATTTATTGGCTGATATGAAAGAAAAAAAGATATTGTACCTCCAGTGTAAAAAGAAGGTTAGGTTTAAATATTAAATCATTGTATGTCATTTCAGATTTCAGACTCCAGGAAATGCAGAACAATGTATGTATTCTGAAATCTTTGAAACACCTTTCTGGGTAGCATCCAATTGAAAAGGAATATTGCCTTTTCTGTGTTTTATTCTCCTAAGCAGGGAATGAAGCTGTTACTGCCGTGTCCTGTGCACATCCATGTAGTATCTTTCTCTGTGATTTTCCTTTGCCGTTTAACTTCCCATATCCTTAGTCATTGTTCATCCAAGAATGCATATTCTAAATACTTTTTCTACGCATTTGGTAAAGCTTAGGCAATCCCTGGGAGCTGTTCTTTAAAAGGCTCAGATGGAATGCTTCCACTTGAGGTGGTATTTGCCCTAGTTTTGTAGATATTTGCACTGATTTTCTTTATAAAAAAAATCATGGGAAACTGCCCTCTAGGTTTAAACAAATAAAAGAATAAACAGGAAATGTGTGCAGTTTATGGGAGCTACTTATTTTCTTTTAGAGGAAAATGTTTCTGCATGTCTTGACTTTGATGTTCCTGGTGAACACAACTGGTAGCTTTCTGACTAAAAGACATGAAAGTGCTGTTCTTCAGAAATGTGTTTTGGTAATTTTGTAATTTTTTTGGGACACCTCAAGTTGAGTGTGCGAGTCTGTGACCCGTCTAGAGAATTTGAGAGATCTGAAGAGCAGACATACGTTCAGTGGTATATTTACTAATGCCACTGGAACATTTAATAAGAAATGTGAACAATTTAAAAATGACTATTTTAAAAATGGTTCAAATGTAGAAGACGGAACAGGTTGAAAGCTTTCAGTAGAGACATGGATATTCCTGTTCTAAAATGAAGCGGACCCTAATATATGATTCAAAACTGCTGCCTCGGAAAACAAAACCACAAGCTCAGGTAATAATGCAGACACATTTCATTTTAATATATAAAACCCACTTTTGCAGCGTCACGAAACCGATTTTCCGGGTACATTTCTTCCTGCAGAGGCATGCTGGCCGGCAGCCTCACCACTTCGTATATCAAAAACAGGCTGAGAGAGACTGGGTGTTTGCCCTCAGTGTCATGCCCGTGCACCAGTTCGAGATCCTTCATGCCTGGAGTGCTCCAGCGTGTCTAAGTGCCATGTGCTTCAGGCTGTTTTTTCTTTGCAAGAGGTTTTGTGGTGCTGCGATTCATAAAATCGCCGGCAGGTAGTCATTCCCGTTATTGTTTGAGAAGTTGTTGTTGTTTTTGTGTTGGCACCCGATGAAAAGCCAAGGCTCTGTAGCTTGAGGCTTCGTGCGGCCTTACCCCCCATCCCCCACCCCCGTTCCCCCCTGCTTCTCAGTCACCAGTCCCTGGCGGGTGCACTCTGAAGCAGGCCAGCTCTCCCAGTCTTCACACGGTCCTTTTACAGACGGTCTTTGTTGTTTCTCCCCAGAACAATGCCAAGGAAGAGGCTGAAGCGGAGGTAAGCTACTGCTCAGCGAGTGGAGTGCTCTCCCTGTTAGGAACCCGACACTGGCCCTGTGCACGCCACTCAAAGACATACAAGCATACATACACAGCTTTATTCACGGCTTTCTAAAAGAGCGTTTTGTCCACCTCTGGCTATCATAAACCTTTGAAGTGACCTGAAAACCTGATTTTCTCTTCTGCATCACAGTCTGTGATGTTCATATTATTTAAAGCACCTCTTTTAAAATGCTCTCAGGTCACAGGAATAACGTATAAGGAAAGAGCCCCTTAATGATATCCTTTACATGTTCATGTTTATTTTTTACAACAGTTGTTCTTTTTTGTGTTCACCAAAATGTGGATACTGTGTTGTGCAAAGATGTGACAGATCATTTGTTGGACCAAGTATTCACGCTTTTCAGACCATCATTAAGAGTGAATTTCTTTAGCGTTAAGAATCTTATACTAATATTTCAGGTGTATATTAGGAGTTTTAACCACAGCTAGTGGTTTGAGAAGTATGTTATTTTATTTTCCAAAATATGCAAAAATACTCTAGGATATAACTGGCAGTAGTGACAATGTAATTATTAATGTGCCCCTTGGACTGCCTTCAGAACAACACCACAAGCTTTCACAATAATGTGAAATATTTAAATCTATCAAAACTCCATGTTTGTACAAACTGTAACATTATGTTGATAGTATATTTGTGAGAAAAGCTTAAATATGAACTTTGTAACTAATGTTTTACAGATGAGTAGAATGGAAAAAGCACTTGTAGACTTTTTTGCCATACAGATAATATATTGTGGTTTTAAAAGTTGAAATATGAAAGCATTCGAAAAGAAAATAGGCTGTGGCTGTTTTAAGAAGTCAGTCATTTCAGGTATCAAAGAAGAAAAATGAAACTTCATAATTCGCCCTGTGACAATCTAAAAGTTCCCTTGAGGTCAGTGAAAACCTGCAGGTGATGTTTTTCAAGGAAAAAGAGCTAAGAAATTCGCAACTAATAAGGAACTAAATTGAAAACCATCCTCTCTGCTTTTAGGATGTTTTTCTAGCACAAGAAGAAGCTGCGTTATCATTCCCTGCTGCCATTCCTGGGTTTAAGGAGACAAACATAATGGACTGGAAAGTGCAAGAAACAAGAGACTTTTATTACTTTATTGCACCAAAGTATGCAGCAAATTTCTAAGTGACTTTAAAATTATTTTTAGCAGTTTCCATAAACCTTGCAACCTTGTGTTGCAGCTTAAAAAAATACACACTCTGAAATATGTTAAATTGTTTTAAACTTTCTTCCTTATAGATTGGAAGACAAAAGTCCCCACGTGTATGTTGGTCATAGGAGGAAAGAAGCATATACAGAAAAAAAGTGCTTGTAAATATTTCTGCAGATTTGTAATATATTTTTATACCGTGAAATGTACTGTAGATTGTTTTTCTTCAGCCTTTTTAGAAGCATGAAAATGAAATGTATATAATTTTGCTAGAAATAATTTTGAAGGATAATGTAATTCGTTAGTTCTGCCAGAATAAAACATTTAAAGAGAAAAATAAGCAAGCACCTTTCTTTTCTAACAGTACGATATGTAATTAGCGGATCATTTGTGGTTTGTGCGCTGCTGCTGCTGCTGCTATGACGTCTGTGTGTCAGGCTTGTATCTTTTAATTGCCGTGCTGGAATTAGGCCAGGACAGTATTAATTTAAAATCTGCCTAAGAAAATGTTTTGCTAATCTGTGAGGCTTCATGGCAATGCTTAGTTTGTAAAGATATGAAATAAAACAATGTACTCAAATAGGCACTTCATCTCTGTGTAGTTATCCGTTGTACCTTGGGGGTGGGGGTGGTGTCTTGCTTTAACTTGGCTTCTAAGCTACATCTTTGTAATAAAACACTGAAATCTGAAATGTTGTCTGATCATTTGCTGTCCAGTTTGCCTGCATGGGGATTACAGGGTGGAGTGCTTGTTGGTTTTGGCATCAGTCTGAAACATGCTATAATAGTGTGCTGTTTATGATTGTCTATTTAATAATTTTTTTCTAAATCTGAAAATGCTATTCAGTTTGCAGGGAAATTAAAGTCTATAGAAGGACTAAAAACAATATCAATTCACAGTCTGCGTGGGATGTTTATAGGATATGATTTGACTGGTCTTAAATGTAACAGTTCCTTTTCTTAGACTTTTTTTAAACTGAATTTTAGTATGTGTTTATATAGGATCCAGACTCTCACAATTTTTCTCACTAGCTAATTGTTTAAAGCATCTGAATGTAGGACAATTAATCAAATGGCTTGTGGTAACACCTCTGCAATTACAATCGAGAGGGAAGCAATTCAGACAATACAACCATATTCCGGACAATATGCCGAGTGTGTATTTGTGATTCCTCTTGATTTGTTTTCATTCCTCTTCAGTTCTCCTCGGCAAAACTGATCAAGATTAAGCTATTATTGTTTCTTTATTTTAGTGCTGGTTGCGTATTTGATTTAAACAGGTAGTTTTATTGTCACCAGTGAAAACTGTAACATAGCTAATTAATATAAATCCGTTATACAAACGTCTTTGTACTGTGTAATAGGCTACTTCTATTTTGACTGTAACCCAAAGGGGGGGGAAAAGCTTTTCCCTAAAATTATCTAAAATTATCAAACTTTTCAATCAGGATAATAGGCATGATTTTGTCTTTGACTTTTTGTGAACCGCAATATCTAATATAAATGATGGCGTTAAGGAAAAATACTGAAACTAATTTCTCAGTACAAACAATTCAATTTGATACTACCTTAGTAGTAGTTAATCGTGTTTTTAGTGGGGAGTGCGCAAGTTTGGCAAAACTATAGAACGATGTGTGGCCAGGCAGTGCTGTGTGTTTGGACAAAGGGGAAAAAAAGCTGACTTTGAAGCGACCACTTTACATTTCATTCTCAAACGGTTGCTGAAGGTTTGGGTATCGTAACAGGGTGATCACTTTCCCCCTCATCTTCAAACTCAGAATTATATTGAAAATATTTTTAGATTTTTTTATACATATAATATTGTATATAAGTACACTCCTCTCTGACTTCTGTTAGTACAGCAGATTTTTCATATACAGATACATGCTAAGAATATGTACTGTGTATTTCCTATGCGCTAAGTGTATGATGAATTTAAATTGATTAAAACTCCAATCAGGAAACATGCTATTTTACATAGCATATACTGTATGCAAGGTAAGTAATACGTCATCTCTTATCGCTTCTGATGATTTAACTCTTATTGAAGATGTGTGTGGTGTGCAGTCGCCTTTTTTTACCCTTCTATATTCAGTTCAAGGTGTTGATGTGTGTTTATGACAAATCTTTTTTTATCATCTGTGCTTGGAGAAGCACCTGACAGCGTCACTGCTGAGCTGGGTCTGCAGTCAGGTGGACGTGGCTCTATAGGTCTTGCTAACGTCATGGCTGCTCTCTGCCAGTGCTGCTGATGTCACAGCCTGCAGGTAATTGCTGGGCTCCTCTTTCATCTCCCGCCTACAAAGAGAATAAACAGGCTGCTTAAAGAGCCATTACAGGCTAGGCAATGGGGGCTGAATAAAAAGTCCTCAATGAGTGGTGAGAATGCAATTAATAACCTTGTTCTTTGATGCGAAGTAGCGAGAGACGTGAAATCCAAGATTTCCATTTAAGACGGTTCTGTGGCAAGAACTGTGTGATCAGGTGCAAGTAAAATGAGTTTTCCAATTCATGCACCATTCCCTGGGAAATTCAAACAGGCAGCATCTACCCATTTTCCCACTTACATGGTAGTACTCTCATGCAGGGAAGAAGTCATGTCAGTATGAAACAGTGATTTTACTGTGAGTGTCACACGTTGGCTTTGGTTTGTGGGCTTGTGTCTGGCATACTAAATGAAGATTATTACAGAGGCAATAATTCCTTTAATTTATATGGAGTATTTCATCCCAAGGGCTTTATAAACTGTATAGGAGGGAGAGTCACCACTGAAGTATAGCTCCCATTCTGGTGACACACAGCAGCCATCACACACCATCAGCCCCAGATCAGGGCTAGGAGCCAAAACTGACTTCCCCGGTTTAATAAAGGGTGTGCTTTAAGAAGGCCGGCTTATGCAATTATGCAATACAGAAAGGGCTTCAGGTGGGACACTGGGATTCCATTAAATTCCCTTAGGGGCAATAACAGTTAATAAACATTCAGTTCTTAATAGTGGAAATGGAGTGAGGGACTCAAAGGAACTGTAAGTTGGGAGACCATTCCTGATCAGTGTGGGTACAGGATGTGACCAGTTGATGGACATTAGGACTTCAGATGAAGTATTGTAAAGACAAACTGTAAAACAAAAGTGCTGGCCAGTCCTTTGGGCCCAAAGTTCCTGTCTCTAAAAATTAGCATTTCTGTGTGATTTTGTAGAGTGTTAAGGAAATTATTTTGGAAGAGAAAGAACCGTGTTTGTGGAAATTAAAAACAGGATTTAAAAAGAAGCCCACATAATTCAAAAGTCTTTTATTTTCATTAAATATCCCCCCCATCTTTTTTTGTATATTCTGTCACTGTCAGCAATACCATTTTAATGAATAAATCCCATAGTGCATCGGCAATGATGTAAAAGAAACAACATTGAGCAGGCAAACAAGATAATTTTGTGCATGTTCTCTTTTTGGGGTAGGCATATTGCTTGTCCCAGCATAAATGCTAAATAACATTTGAACAACTGCAGTTAATGATAACTTTGCAAATGGCAGCTTGCAAGATATCGTACAGATTCAGTAATAAAATAAAACCATGTGGCTAAATCCTTTGAATGCATTATTATGCAGTTTCTTTAGATTTTGCCATGTATCAACATTAAATACACCTTTGCCAAACTAATATAAACGCATGTGATGTGTTTAAAGATGGACTTTCTAATCGGTAAACAGTTCCGGGATAAGAATACTTTGCTGAGACAGAGTTATTTAGGTTTTTGCATTATTTTTTTTCCATAATGTTTTCCCCCAAAACATAGAAACCTATGAACTTTAAAACATTAAACACAGTAGGAGTGTTCAGACAAGGTACTGTATTATTAAGGTAATATCATCATGGTTTACTGATGGTCTGCTGCCTGCCAAGTTCAAAGCATGTGTCACATAACCTACAGAGTATAGATACAAAGTGCAGTATTTAATACAATTTAGAGAAACATTATTAAAATATTTGCATCCCAGAAAGCACGATTATGGCCTGTACATATGTTTGGGCTCCTCTTCATTTCCCTCCTCACCAGAGGCTGTTCAGGAATCAGAAAATGTTTATTTACGAAGGATCTTGAATGCATCCTTCTTCTTTTTGGTGCCTTCCTATTTGGGAGATGTCTATTAGCCTGGTGCATCCCTGAAGCCCAGTGAGACAGGGATCAGTGTTGACAGCTCCATCAGTGTTTAATCTTGACAGTTTCCCAGGGTCCATATGTTAGCGTCCTGTGAGCAATAGATGCTTGAGTAAACACTGCTTCTGAATTGGGCCAAACGCATCACTTAGTATGTTTAAAAAAACACAGATTTTCTTTTAAGCTTTTTCTAATCGTGCCATACACTCACTGACAGATGTCCTTTGAAGTCCATGGTATTGTGCACTTGCCCATTAAGAAATAAAAAAAATTGTACATGTTGAATCTTGTATCTTGTTTACCATGTACAGCTTAGTAGTGTATTTAAAGGAAGATTAGATTTGTCAAGACAATTCAGAATACTGCTGCTTGCTGTTAAGGGTTTGAAAGGTCTGGCTCTTGACTACACTGAACTGCTAGCTCCCCACACACCATCAATGCATTTGAGCACTTTGGATGCTGCCATTCTCTTAATTCACAATGTGAGGCTGCAAGCCCTGTGACACCCAGGGAAACCCTTCCTTGTGATGTTGTTCCAAGACTGTGAAATGATCCATCAGCCCTCATCAGAACCTGCAAACAGGGCCGGCTCTAGGTTTTTGGTGGCCCTGGCAAAGATCTCGGAAAGGGGCCTCTCCAGATCACAATTTGCACAGACACTATCATCAGCTCCCAACACAACACAGAATTAAATAAATGAATTATATAACTGATTTTTTAAATGAACCAGTTATGTGGTTAACTTAACCAGTTAAGTTATGTGTTTGAAGAACACATAACTTACAAACAAGGACAAGAAGCACACATTAAACAAAACTAAACATGTATTTAATGTTGAAAGTGATAACATGATATGTGAATCTGTGAACTTCTAGTAGTCTAACATGTCTAGCTAGAAAATGCAGCTTGTCTGCTGGTCTCTAAGTTACATTGATCTGGTCAATTCAAAACTAAATGAAATGGAAATGTATTTTCTCAGTGCTCAATATTCATCCTTTTGGAGGACGGTGTGCATTTACTAGTTGCGACTGCACGATTTGAATTTTAAACATGATTTACAACACAAGTAAAAGGCCACTTGTAATCATCGCAACAATTTAAAACTTTCCCAATTCAAATAAATAGTATTCGATGTAGCAGCACCTGAAACCACACTGATATGGTCATCTTAATGAGACGATGTGAGTCATTGACTGCATTGACAGTGAGGTAATCTGCTACGTTTACATTCACAACTGATAATATTATCATTTATAACTCACAAATGGCCTAGATTGGCACAATCCGCAACCAAAGAGCCGTTGGAGGCAATTTTTCGGCTCTCATTGGAAAGTGTTGCTTAAAAAAGTCTGTTTGTCACATTGAGGGGGCCCCCTGGGGGCCTCGGGGCCCTATACAGTAGCCCAGTTCGCCTAAGCCAAGGGCCAGCCCTGCCTGCCACTCAGTCAGAACTTTCAATTTCTGTTTTCAAACCCACTTTTTTTACTCTCTTAATTCTGTTTAATTTGCTGTAAAATTAGATTCCCAACTATTTGG